TCGTTCTTGTTTTAGTACCAATCATAACTAAAAAAACTCCATTGTTTAACTTTAATTGCATTAATATAACCTTGTTAATTTTGCAATCCCTCTGCACACGAATCATTTTATTACTTCAACGAGACTGGTGCACTTTGAAGATGAGAAAAATACACAAGAAGGGAGGTTGAATTGTATGCTTAAAAAAATATTCCGCTTTTGAACTCAGAAGATCAGAGTCTGAACAACGTTCAGAGTCTGTTAATAGAATGTATAGCAGCGGAAAATAAAGTTCATAAGTAAATTTAATCAACACACAAAATTTATTATGGTTCCTCTCATAAACTAAGAGTAGTCTAGTCCCCTTGCCTCAACAAGATCTTTTCACTATAACTAAACTAGTTACAAATGCTTAAGCCACTGCTTAAGACTTCCTGCTTAATCAACTCTGAATGAGGCTTCCTTGCTTAAGCCACTGCTCAAGATTTCATGCTTAAACCCTTTGGAGTTCTCGTTAATAAGAGTGAGATATACATCAAGGAATTGGATATAACAGTCGTGTTAATTTTTAGTAATTCTAAAAAATCACTTCGAGAAAATAAATGCAGTTATCAATAGTGACAATCAATGAACTCGAAACAAAACCTAGTCGCTTTCTCCATATTGTAATTTCTATAAATTTTGTTCGCGCAATTTACTTTGCAACTTGAACTTAAAACCCCCTGAACATTTACTTTTAAAATCACACTAATAACCTTGTTAAAATAACTCAATCCTTGTGGAGACGGTCTTATATTTTTATTACTTCAACATAATTAGTATACTTGTTAATTTTTCATCAAGCATTTAGCAACAACTTTGGTTGTTGTTAAAGTCCATTCTTGAAGATGTGTGTCTGCATGAGTTCTTCAAAGTTTTGGTTTGAACATCTCCTATCCTGGATTTATACCTTTCCCATGTTTTACAGAGAGTTTCCGTTGTGCCTTGAGAAAACACCATGTTCGTTGTCTTGGCTATCATAAACTTGTTGTGAGGAAAGAATTTGTTTAAGAAATTTTCCTCCAACAAATTCCACTTTGTCATCGTTGATGTGGGTTGATATAGATATCACTCATTTTATTTTCTAATCAGAGAGTGTGGAAACAATTGTAGGAATATCAGATCTTCCTCATCTTCTAGAGCTCCTTACGTACCATAAAATTTGAAGAATTTTGTGAGGTGCGTGTACGGGTCTTCATGATCTAAACTTGCAAATAGATTAGCATACAAAATTTGCAATAAGTAATTTTTCATTTCACTTTTTCAGACATTCCTTTGCGTTTTAGGTAGATGAGCTAGACATCTGGGAATACTGTGACATGGTGTGTCACAATTTTTGTTTTCATTATTGTTAGTGTTATTGATGAGTCTAGTCATGGTTCTTTGTTTTGAGACAGAAGACTCTTTTAGATCTAACTTTTCGAATTTTTGTTCCTTTTTCCTATTTTTACCGAAGTTTCTGCATGCAGTTCTTTCGATGTAAGGATCGAATAAGAATCTCTTTACAGGAACGTTACCTTGCATAAACTAGGAAAAACATAACTAACTCTAAATATTAATGGTTTAGTGTTTATAAACAAAATATACAACTATTAACATATATACACAAATATAAACAATACTTACAATAATAAAAACTATATTATATCCTTAAGACTTAGCATCACTCATCGCCAATAGCACCATTTTGTTTGTTGCGGACAAAAGTAAGCTTTATAATTATCGTATCCACAGAGGCTGGTGGTTACAAAGTTCGTTCAATAGTTTTTAAGATCTTAAGTAGAGAATGGTAGCATATCTGTTGTGATTCGCGAAAGTAAATGAAATAAAATAAATTATAAAAAAAATGGAGATTTCGATGTTAAGAATAAGAAAACTTGTTGATGGTAGATTTCATCATTACGTATTTATCATTAATATGCTTTTTTGCTCAGCTATTAATATTATCAATGTTGCTCTCATTTATATATCCTTTCTGTCTCAACGCTGTGAGATCAGTGTATTACTTAATAGTCGATATATCAGACTATTAACCAACACAGAGCATTAAGTTTCAACAATTATAAAGCAGTAAGACATCATATTGATCCATACCATATTATGTGTGGATATTGGACCTAACCCTATCTTTAGGTGCTAGTTTTCAATAAATGATTATCTTGGATCTAGTAATGAAAAGCACCTTTCGATGTCAAGTCGCACTATGAAATCAAGTTTTAGGTAGCAAAGGTAAAACAAGCATTAAGATTAAAGTGTCATCAACATTAAAATAAGAGTTTACATAGAACTTCATCATGGCCTATTTAGAACATGAATAGAATGACTACACTCACCCCAACAAAGAGATTTTAGCTATGATTACTCATTGTAGTGTAATTGTCGGTAATCTTGCAAAACTGATCTTAGATGTGTGATATACCCTGTCACTTGAGCGGCGCTTCTGCCTTAAGGCTCCCTCTCTGTTATAGACCAAAGTGAACCTACTCTAATTATGTACTACATCGATCCACCGAAACTTCCTTTGCACTGAATTGAACACTCTTATTTATAGGCAAATGTTTAGACCACTCGCTAGGCGCACCACATTCTCGCCTAGCGCGCCTACCCTATTCTTTCCAGCTTGCTTTTCTTTTCCAACAAGCAATGCTTGCATGTCTGCCACATGGCCATAGCCGCCCTTCCTCTCCTAGCGCACAACTCTTTTGACTAGCGAGTTAATCCTTACTTTATCATGAAGAAGTTGCAGTTGGCTATGTTTTCTAGCTAGGCCATCCTTTGTCTAGCGCGCCTATGTTGGACCTATCAAACCTTGTTCTTTTGAGTTTTACTCAGACTTAGTTTTTGTGTGTCGAATTGTGATTTTTTTAGTTCTTTTTATCTAGTTTCAATTAACATGTATAAAAAAAAGTTCAATCATGTGTTTTCTTACTTCTTATAGATAATTAAATGATTTTTGTATCAATTGTTCATAAAATAAACTAATAAGTGTCAACGTATTTAACGTAAATATGACATGTACCATACACTTTTATATACTAACAAATAAATGAGCATGAAGCACATAAATGTAGTCAATATACTGATTAGGGGTGAGAATGAGATAGTTCAAAATACATTAAACTTTATCCAATCCTAAATTTTGGTCTGATAGAACTTTTAGACCAAAACCGATCTCAAACATAAAGAATAAAAATCATAATACAAGAATCTAATAAAGAGCCAGTCTATGTTGGGAGTGAGATGTAGTAGTCATTCTATTCACCATGTATTTATCATCAATCCAATGCGAATCACACTGTGTGAGCTTCTCACCTATCCAAATAAACCAAAAACAATTTTAACAAAAAAACAAAAAACAAAAAGGAAAGAGCCAGTCTATGTTGGGAGTGAGATGTAGTAGTCATTCTATTCACCATGTATTTATCATCAATCCAATGCGAATCACACTGTGTGAGCTTCTCACCTATCCAAATAAACCAAAAACAATTTTAACAAAAAAACAAAAAACAAAAAGGAAACTGATTTCCCACTGGATTGGATTAGTTTTTGGCTCTTAAGTCAAAAACCAATTCAATTTAAACCAAGCCAAAAAATCTCTGTTCACATTTATTGTGTGCATCTACAATAAATAGCGTATACAAAGTTATTTGATATGTATTTATTCATTGAGTGCTCACATTAGTTGTGAGCATCTACCATAAATAGCTAAATGTATACAAAGTTTGATATGGCAAATGCATAGCCTCTTAACGTTTGAAAGTTAGGAGGTGAAGGAAGGGAAATGCTTTACAGGGGAAAGGAATGGCAAGCACAGAAATCTCTCATTTTTTAAGATATTTTGGAAGAGGAGAGGAATTAATCCCTTCATCGGGGTCCTATAATGAATGATTCATTTATAACAAAAGAATAATAAAAGAGTGTATCAAAATAAATTATTCATTTTAATTTTAAATTTATTTTTTTTAATTTTACTTTCTAATTAATATTACTTAATCTTCGTAATACATGATAAGAGTACTTAAGTAAAAATATTATTTTTTCTCTTCTATTTAATTTTTTTTAATATATATAAAATAATCAACCGGGTAATATATAATATTTTTTATTTGAAAAAATATTATAATTAAAAAAAGGCTTGGAGATTTTTCCAGAACCCTACAAAAGTAAAATTTGAAAATCAATATTAAATAATTTAGTAATACTTAGGCACAAAATGTACAAATTAACTGTGCTAACCGGGTAATATTTGTATAACGATAAAGTCGTAGTCAATCAAAATATTGCAAAACAGTCCAAATATTATCATTATAGCTGAACAAACACAACTAACTTCACTTGCATTGGTGGCATAATTTTTGAGACCCAAAAGCAATAAATACGGATAAAAGACCAAGCCGAAAGCAAAAATAAGCTTAAACTCCATGGCATACGGGGGAAATATATAATACAACACGTGAATAAAAGCCCGAAATTCAACAAAATGTTTTATTTTCCTTAAATGCTGCTACAAAACACCATTCTCAATTTCACCTGAGAAGATAAATGATGATTCAAGGCACCACCAGAAACAGCACATAATGTGGAATGGTCCAACATTAAATTACTAAGGGGAAAAGTAATGTGACAGAGGATCATGAAAGAGCTTCACAATCCAATAAAAATAAGGTTTTATCATCTCAATCAAATAAACTAGACTGCAAAATGACCAACCAATATTCCAGATACCACTCTATTCTATACCCCATACTTGTTGAAAAGAAAATTTCAACAAGTCTTCAGTTCAGGCATACAAGAAGTAAAGTAAAAAAATAACGTATAGGTACGGTCTATGACAGATCACTATCAACTTTTGAGAAGTAAACGGGTGATTATTCATGATGGACATTTAGTTGAAAATTATCAGAATAGAATCTCACATTACATCTCTACACATCAGGATTTGTAATTCAAGATGGTAGGCTTCATAAAATCAATCGTGAAGCCTACTCGTCAACATCTTCCTTAGCAAGCTTCTACACAAAAAAAAAGTAGTAAATGTTAGATAAAGATATATCTGCTCAAGAAAATTTGACATTAAGATCACATTATCACAAGTCCTGGAGGAAAAAAAAATCTTTAAAGATCAACAGAACACAAAGATTAAGCCGAACCTATACCCTGGTAGCATTTGAGAAGAACACTCTAAACCAAGTAAATTAATGCAGAGTTTGGCTACTCACTTTAAGCATAAAAGTAAGACATTTCAAATTGTTGATGAGAAAATCAATTGTATAGATTGTTGATTCTTTTTCATTACCAACAAAATGCTGCTTTTTAAAGTGAATTATGAAAGTTTTCATAGGTAAAGGAAGATAAGAAAAAGTGAGAGAGCTATTCATTAGTCAATCAAAATTTATTTTTCATTATTAAAGTGACTCTATACAAACAATCAAGATTCAAAATTCATTTCTCATTATACAAACCACTATTCTTCTAGCATAATTTTAACAAACCGCTATTTTGAGTCATCAGAAATTGACAACACTGAATCTATACAAGAGCAGTGTATGAATATATATGCCATGTCTGAGTTAGTTTATTTGAGTTTATCTACTAGCCCGGGCATGAGTTTTGAGAGACTGTTTGGGAGCTTTTAAAAACAGTTTATTTTCATAGTTTACGAAAACAGCTTATAACTTATAAAAAAAAAACAGATTTATTTTATCTTTTGCTATACAAATAGCTTATACATAAGTATTTATCATGATAAACACTTGTGCCATAAGCTGCATATAATTTTTTATCCAAACAGTGCCATGGTACTACAATTACAACAAACTCAATCCGTGATTAACTAACTATTCTCCTAAACAATTACTAAGAGTATTTGAATCCATCCATGCCGACATGAATTTTTCTTAAACCGAACAAATTATTGCACAATTCATTGTGTAAAACTGGAAAAACAAACATAATACACAAGAAAAAGTAACAATTCCACGAGGTTTGATAGGGTTTCAGCTACTAATAACCTAAATCGATTGATGCAAATAGTATAATTTAGCATAGGAAGCAAAAATTAATTGATGAAATGGAAATTGAAGGAAGTAATTTTGGAGAGAGATGATTACGGATTGAGCGTTATGCCAAGCAAGGCCTTTGTAAACGTTAGCGGAGAAAGTGGCGGTGAGGTAAATGGTGGCGACGCCGAGAGTTGCCGTGAACGCCTTGAAAGCATAATCCCCAACCTTACTAGCTATTCCCATTTTCGATTCACAACTAGGGCTTTACACGCTTCCTCTTTCTTCTTCACACCCTTGTGAAAAGTTATACTCTTGCTCCTGATTCTATTTAATTAATAGTATTAAAGTTTGAAAGTAAAAACTTTTTTTTATGCAACTAATCGACCTATTTATAATTATTATGTAATATTAGTACTTTAAATTAAAAATATATATATTTTTTATACAGAATTATGATTGATTAACCGTATAAAATATTTTATACTATAAATATATTTTTTTTTCAAACTTTTTTCTTTAATTTTTAAACCAATTAATTTTATTAAAATTCAAATGAATGTATATGGAGGATTTTTTTACCAAACTAATCCAGTTTTTAAAATTTTTTTTTAAAATACCTCATATTTCAAATTATTTTTCAAAGTACCTCAGTTTAGGGTACTGATTACATGGTAGCGTCGGGTGGATTGGCGACCCTTCACAAGGGCTTGAAGGGTGGCGCTAATTGGATTGGAGACACCTCATGGTGTTTCCAATCTAATTGGCGCCTGAGTTTAAAACTTACAAGGGAGACGCCAATTGAGATGGAGACAGCCTTGAAAGTAATTTTTTTCTATAAATAGAGGTGTTCTGATCATTTGGTTCCACACCTCATCTCATATCTTTGTTCCACAACTCATCTCACATCTATTGAGATGGAAAAAGTGGTTTATTCGAGAGAGAAGTCTCAAATGGACATGTTGTTTTGGAACATTCAAAGTTTCAATCAACTTAAGAGGAAGTCGAATCGGTGGTTAGAAGGAGACATTGGTGAAATGGAAAAAATTCGAAGTATCGAGAGACTTGATCGCCTGTGTGGATAAGTTCGCGTTAGGACTGACAAAGTTGCGATGGAAGTCATGTTTGGACCGAATGAAATTAGTTTGATTGTTGTAATTAGTTAGAAATGTTTTATGTTTCTTTTCTGTTATCTGTTTTATGTGTCGTACGTGTTGGTTGTTGTTAGTTTGCGGTATGTGGCAACAAAGACTCATTACTATATGAAAATATTAGGTTACAACAATTGAAAGGATAAACTAAATCATGATGCAGAGGTTGCTCTGACATTGGGACAATTTTTTCGGTTTTGTCCGGGCTGATGACATATACTGCATAATCTTATCATTTTATCAGCCGTATCCATTTCGGTCCTTATACGCTTGTTGTTTGGGCGTCCTTTTTCTTTCTTCGCATCTGATCATTGTGTCAAACTATGTCCCTTTGGTATGGAGGCCAATATTCCCCCATTGGTAGCACTGCGAAGCCTTTGTTGTAGACATTCGTAACATTAATTGCTTTGTAAACATCAGATAGATGGCTATAAGCATCTTGAAGAGCATGTGCGCATGATGCAATGGCATGTAGTAAGGTACACGAAATACTTGGTACTTGCCACAATCACATCAACCTCTGTTTAGTCTGACAGTATAGGATAAGTTTGACATCCTCTAATTATGGTCCATAGTTTCTTGTACACTAAAAGTTTGTCTATAACGGTCAAAGACTGTAACTGCATATGTGTTGGTTTTGATAGTATCCTTTTTCATCACCTTCATTATGCTTTCACTGAATACTTGACCCGACATTAACACTGCACTCCATCTTTCGCCTCTTGTTGCAAACAAGTGATGCCAACCTATAATAGGTTAATCTCACCAATGCGGTGATTGGAATGTTTCTAATTCCTTTGAAGACCCCGTTCATGGATTCTACAAGGTTTGTCGTCATATGGCCCCAACGACATCCACCATCAAAAGCCCTTGTCCACTTTTCTAGTGGAATGTTATCCAACCATCTTCCTGCATCTGCGTTTGACATTCTAATTTTGTTAAGGTAGTACTAAAATGATGGTTGAGGTAGAGCATACCCGACATTCACAACTTCTTTGCGAAGGTTCTTGTCTTTGATTGCACGCATGAAGTTTTGTGCAATATGTCTAATGCAATATACATGGGTAGAAAGAGGATTATGTCACCCGTTATCACGACTATCGTAAGCACTTTCTATAGCAGCATGCCTGTCTGAAATCAAATAGAGATTGGCTCGTGGAGCGACATGTGTTCTGAGATTCTTAAGGAAGAAACTCCAAGCAGAAGCAGTTTCACCCTCAACCAGAGCAAAGGCTATGGGAAAGACATTATTGTTAACGTCTTGTGCAACAACCATAAGCAAGGTGCCCTTGTATTTTTTGTAGAGTCGTGTTCCATCAATTTGAATAATAGGTTTGCAGAATGCAAAACCTTTTATGTATGGTTAAAATAACCAAAAGAGATGGTGAAATATGACATTTCCATCAATAATAATTCCATATGGCCTACATGTCGGCACTGTCTACATGATTGCAATAGTTCCTGGTGTGCATGTCTTAAGTGTTACCATAAATCGCGGTAATTCTTTGTACGAATCCTCCCAGTTGTCAAATACATGTTCAATAGTCTTTGTCCTTGCAATCAACACCTTCTTGTACGAGGGAGTATAATTATATCACGTACCGATATGAGAGATTATTATACTCAATTTCACTGATGGATCCTTGTTAACAAGCGGAAAAATGTATTGACATATCAATTATGCGCTTAACTTTCGGTGATCCTGAACAATATTGGTGGCAGTGCAACTGTGAGGTGACTCTATGGAAACTATCTTCCAAGAACCGCTTCTCTTTTTGTAAGACGCAACAAGTTGAAACTTGCAAAGTGGATTATGACAAATAATGACATACCTTCTCAAATTAGTTCGATGTACATTAAAATCAACAGAGTTATCCATGTGATATTTTTTAGTGGCTCTTATACAATCCTCCTTGGTACGAAATCGGTCTCCCACTTTTAATTCATTCTCTAACCGCATATACGGGTTATGTAACATATCTGCGGATCTCTCATTGTCTTGCAAGTCCAAGTTTGTCATATGTTGAGGCAGACAATATAAATGACCTAGAGGTATTGGCACTTGTTCGTCATCTTCAACGTTATTGTACAACAGTTGATCGACCAGTGTCTCTCTTCCTTCTTCTTATTCATTAACGATGATGACCTCCAGTTCGGTTTCATATGAGTATTTTGTTTCGGTTTCATCTGAGTCTACACCTGTTGATTAATCGATGATCTAAGACTGTTGAAATGGAATATTCGAAGGTGAGAAAAACACTTAAAAGGGGGGGGGGGTTGAATAAGAGTTTTAAGAAATATGGCAATAAAACAACTCAAGATTTTTATCCTGGTTCGTTGAACTCAACTACTCCAGTCCACCTTATCAAAGATGATTTGCCTTTCTCCACAAGGACTTAATCCACTATTAATCAACTGATTACAATAGTAAGCACTAAGAACAACTGTCTTAGTCTTCTCAAGAACTACTGACCACACCTTGGTCTTCTTAAGGAACTTCTTACAAATTAATGTAAACTAACAAGTGTTTGAATGCTTCTAATAAGCTGTATCACAACTGTGATATTTACACTTAAGATTAAGTACAAATAAAACTATACAGTTTTATGAAAGAACAAATGAATAAGATCTTTGTGAGATTTTCACTTTGATGAATCAAGCGTGTATGAACATTTCTTTCTGAATGAGCTAGCAATGAGCAAGTGATGAGCAGGAAATTAGCAGCTTCTAAATGTTGTAGAAGTTCTCCTTTTATAGCTTTTTCAATATGCTTTGAATGATGTGCAGCTGAATATTATATAAGAATATAAGACTTTTCATCACCAAAAAGTATGGGCAGAGATATGCTTTCTGCAGGAAAAGTATGGTTGTAGAAGCTTTGGGATTTGCACCACGTCACTTCTTTGGACAAAATAGTCGTTGGTTACTTTGGAAGTAGCACCACGTCCAATCAAGTTTACAGCTTCTCCAACAAGCTTCCTTCAGAATGAAGTCTTCATGATCTGCACTTCAGAACTTGTAGCAAGCTTTAAAAGGAATGAAATACTTAAGATGATCAGAGCTTGATAGATGATCAGAACTTGATATATCAGAGTCTCAATCTTGATCAGAGTCTTCATCAGAGTATGCAGCAGTATGTGCTTGAGCGTGAATATAAATGATAAAAGTATGATTATCAAAGCCTCTGTTCTTGCAGTGAAAAGAACTTCAGAGTCTGATTAGATCAAAGCTTTCAACTCTTAATTCTTTCAGCAACGCTTCAGATCATTTTGTAGCTTCTGCTTCAGATTCTTCTGGCAGCGCTTCAGAGTCTTCTGATAGTCTTGCATCTGATGCTTCAAAGCCTTGCATAGTTTCTTGTACTTATGTATTTTGCTTCTTTAAGAGTATTTAATTTAATACCTGAAACAATAATACTTGAACAAATTTTAGAGTGTATATTTTTTTAATACAAAATTCCATAAGAGTTATCATCAAAACATAGAGATACAAGAAACACCAATTTGTGTTCTAACAATATCCCCCTTTTTGATGATGACAAAACATAGGAAATTTTGTTCAATAAAGAGACTAAAAATATATAACTCCCCCTGAGATTAAGAATCTCCCCCTGAAATGAATACTCTAATAGAAGAGAACACTTCCCTTTTTGCTTGAGTAAAATTCAGAACCTGGTAGGAATCCTTGTTAAGAGAAAGAATTAGAGCTTGGATGCTTTCCAGAATTAGAGCCTGATGATTTCTTTCAAATAAAGAGTCTGGTTTATCTTCCAGAATCAGAGGCAAATTTGCTTCAAGGATCAGAGCCTGGTTGTGTAATTCTCAGGGTAACTTCAGATAATTTTTGTCAGATGAAACAAATAGATCTGAAAGACTTCAGATGAAACAAATAGATCTGAAAGACTTAAGATTCAATGTTAGATTAATACTATGTCTAAATTTCATTTTAGTATTGCTTATGAATTGAACAATCAGATTCTCTTTCTCCCCCTTTTTGTCATAATCAAAAAGAATTTAAAAGACAGAAAAGATAACAGAAGAAGAGAAAACACAACACATAAATGAAAAACATAACAGCCAGATTCATTCAGATTCA